ATGAGGAAAATTCATGTAGCCTCCGAGTCCGCATCCTCTGAGCGGAGCATCTCGAACATAGTAACCTCCTCACTGCCCACCACCCCCTCCCATGTCGATGACGGGCTATACAAGAATGCAGCCATAAACATATTTCAAGAGACATAAATAACTAATACAGGGGCTGGTATTAATAGCCTCCAAAAAAGGGGGGTCGTGAAATTTTGAAATTTGGGAACGACGCGATTGACTTCTGCGCCGTCAAATGCGCTACAGCGAGCTAATGCCACTTATGCACGGCCGCACCTTTGCCGACGCACCTAATTACGTTCCATAGCTGCCTCAGTTTCGTTAATGCCCAAGTTCCTCTTCGAGGTTGCCAATGGAAACTGCAATGAGTTGCTTACTTATATATTCGAAAACCCTTCATCCTGACCGACATTCTCGGCTCGCACTGAAATATGCTTTTGTATTTCATAACTTCCTTCCCAGATATCAGAGCTCGACCGACTTCATCATCGTTCTGGCCGATGGGTGGTCCTCTTGATTGTTGTTAGAGTATTTAGGCCCTTGACCCCTGATAACATACGTGTCTCGCAACAGGGCTATAGTGTCCGTTTGAGGGTCACTAAATAGTTGCATATCTTGTCCCCTAACGCAATGTTTGTTAAAGTTCGAAACAATTCACCCATTAGGGTAATCCAGTCAAAAGGTGGATATTTTAACAAGTAGTGAAGCGCACCACCCGTATGGTCTGCGTATGAAATCCTAGATCAGTTCTCGTCCACGCCCATCAAGCCTTCCCTCTCCAGGGGCGATCCTCAGAGACCGAAGACGATGACCCCACATTGACAGGCCCTCGAAATTTTTTTAGCTCGAAGGATCAACCGTGGAAAACTAAAATTTTCCTTCGGTCAGCAGTATAAAACGCTAGAGGTCAATCACAAATGTGGCATTCCCGTGCGTGAAAATCGCCCAACAAGGGCGCTAAGACTTTACAAAGGCAGCTTCAACAGCTTCAGTTCACTCCAGCCTCAAGGCTGTTGTCTGGCACCTTCTCATCTGGTGCGCTCTCTCGCCTCATACTCTCCTCTCCGCGCTTAGTCTCTCATTCCCTTAGCACAGCCGATTAGGAAGGTGAGTGAGCCCTCAACCTGAGCGTTTTCGACGGATTCTTTTCCTTTTTTCTTCACTGCCGGCCCATTTTACCCAATACATTCACATTCGTGCGCAAGAAACCACACCAGCTTCATTGTTTGGCATGCCTCTAATCATTGAGCAATGCTTGGGAACAAGCAAATTTCTCCACCATGTTTTAGAAGCGCCTTTTTTTATCTCAGCCCATTTTGCACGCTAGCTCTATACTTTGTAAAAATTATCTAAATACAACAGTGGCACGGAAGCGCAAATTCCTACAGATGACCTTAGACGGGATCCTCAAGCGAACGAATTCACCATCTTGAGGCTTGCCACTCTAGCAGCTAGTTCAAATAAAGAGTGTATCCGCATGGGTGCGTAGACGATTACATATGCTAGAGGTTTAGGTGGACAAGGCCCGAGTAAACAACGCCGAGGAAGCCGCTGACGGAAACGAAGGCCGTCCACCTGTCGTCACTGCCAGTGGAACCGCGCCGTTCGCAGCGACACCGGCAGGACCGGATTTTTTGCAAATTTTCGAGGTGCTTTCGGATGATTGGCTTAAGCGTCGATTTTCAACAGTGTCAAGACTAATTTGTTCAGAACACCAGTGGACCGGCACCGGAGACGTACGCGTGTGCGGTTTGTGAGGAGCCGGCTCGTGGATTTCATTTCGGGGCCTTCACTTGTGAAGGGTGCAAGGTAAGAGAGATTGGTTTTCAAGGCCAACATGCAAGAATGGCTCTTATTGCTAAGAATCGCGGTGAAAGGTGGGGAACTTGTAGAATGTGCATCAAAAGACTCCGCAGTTCTGATACGGG